TAGTTTGTTCGTCTAACATTACGTGTTTTGATATATCTCTATTTTTACATTCCATGCCTTCTGGCGGCGGCAAGATGAGAAAACTTGTCTCATGGTCGGTGCACCGTCGGTAAAGCAGGGAACATTTCTATGGATTAATTGTAGCGATAGCGACCCCTTGTAGGAGCTGGGGACCTATGAGAGAAGAGCTTGAAGAGAATTTGGGGGGAGATGAATTAATTTGAGGGTGATAAATTGACTGATTTGGGGCGCTATGAATTGATTTGAGGGGCGACGCAATGGATGCTTTTTCTCCTATTTTGTTTTTTAATTTCCATATTCTGCAATAATTGCTTTATTTTATATAAATTCTTATTGAGCGACTAGATATTGTAAACAATCACAAATAACCCGTTATGTAGAAAATAATTAAAAGTTCGTTTTTGGTAGATCTTGGCAAAATGTCGAAAAGAGTTGGCAAACGTCAGTCCCCCCCTGAAAAGTGGTCCCGCTACCTCTCTACTCCTCTGTACCGATGCTATAGTGCTTTTATTCTCTCCTCTATCTCTGTAGATATCGAAGCCCGTTTAATATAATGCAAACGGAAGCTGTTTGCTGTTTCAACCCGCAGATACTTGGCACCATCCACATACCATTATTCTTTTATTTTCTTTCGGAGACTGTAGCAAATTGTTTCAAGAGCGTTGACTCAACTGCAAAAAGATCTTCGTGATACAGTTAGATTCAGGCAGTATCTCTCAGAGCGTTCTATATTAGGGTCCATAAAACCTTTCTCTTGATTTAGAGTCTATAGCCTTGTCAGGTCTAGTCGCCCAGAGGGCAGCATAAAGTTAGAGAAACAGAAGGGGATGAGCAAGAAAAGATGGGAGAACAAAAGAAGGGAATTAAGGCGCTAGTAACACTATTAATTAGGATTCGGCAGCCCCAAATTGACTTAAAAAATGAACTTCGATGTTTGTCGCTGAAACAGTCAATTTTTCTTGGACCTGAAGTTGCATGAAATAATCTTGTTACTAATACCCAACATTATAGTGTATACTTGCGAAATTGCAAACGTGTTGTCTGCCGAGCCTCTCAACACACTAGTTCACTATAGCCTGTTGTTCAATATATTCTTTTAGATAACGGAAATGAAAGTGAAGGGTATTGGAGAATGTTACAGGGTACGCTTTTAAGCACAGAATATAGCCTGCAATACAAATGTTTTTCTGTTGTAGACCAACAAACAGAACCAAAAAGATTCACCCACAATCAGCTACAGAGAGGAATACGTGGAATAATTGATTTAGGAGAGGGTGTATCGAGGACCTGAAACAGATTCTTCGGGGTAACACTCTTTACGTGGTAGGATTTAAGTTTTGTTATAGTCTATATATACCTAAGGCTTTTATTTGACATGAACTCTAAAATTATAGAAATTATTGTAGATTTTGAAACTATGTAGAGGCGCGGGATACACAGAAAGCTCGGGACTGCGCCTGATGGAGTCCCAGACCAGAACGAAATCCAGACACCTATTTTTCCGTTGAAGGAATGAAATAGCAAGGTGAGAGGTGCTCATTTTCTTAAATTGTATCTAATTTTTAAGCATTTGGCGTCTCGCATCAAGATGGGGTCCTGGCCAAAAGCCCATGTGCCGAGAGGGTAGAGACGGAATCGAGTTTCAATGAAATAGATCGGTTGGGACCAGATATAACTCCTATAGCACTTAGATCTTTTCTGTGAAACTAGAAGATACGAGGATAAGGATAAAAGTTCTCAGCCTAACACAGACATGGCACTCCAACAAACTTAGACTAGTTAGAAGGAGCAAGTCTACGATTGTTTTGTCCCAAAATCTGATTGTCGATGAAAGTCCATACTACAAGTCGATCAAGCTCAAGCTGCCAGTTTCCAGTTGTTGACATTTCACAGAAAATTTGTGTTTTTCTCTGAAATGGTGCAGGCATCTGTAGAACAAAAGCCGTTTAAATTGAATAATCGATCAATAAGTGTTAATTTATTATAGTTTCGGGATTGCGTTGGGTTTTTATCTAGACAGTTGTGAGGTAATTTTGACTTATTTCAGTCGTATTCTTGTTTCTTTGAGCGCTCAGTATTAGGATTTGCTAACAGGATTGTGTACCTGTTGTGTACAAGAACACTGAAAAGTAAAAAGTATTGGAGGAAAAACAAAATTATTGGTGGATACCTAAATAGTCTGAAACATCAACTTTGAGTCTTATCTACTTTGATTTTAAATCTGCTCAGATCACAATAGGTATTTAGAAAAACGATCATTCATCCCGCTATGCTTTTCTTCATCTCAGAGTTTGCACCGATTAATCATATTAACTTCTCAAATTACGAGATGTATGGGGTGCTGCCACCCCGACTACATATTCATGCTCGATGTTGTCCAGAGGAGGACTGTCCGACTGATCGATGACTCTTCTCTAACAGACAGTCTCGGAACCCTTTCGCACCAGCGGGCCGTCGGCAATCTAGCTCTCTTCTGTAGCTACATCAACGGGCTTTGTTCCTCAGAGCTCTCCTCGATGATGCAGCCAGACAGACCCGCCTTACTTCGGCTTCCCGTCCTAACCTTGTCGACATCCAGAACTTGCCGCAGTTTTCCCAGTTCTACGAACATTATGCAGTTAAAACTCGGATTAACAAAATTTCATTGCGATCCTCATAGTAGCCGCGTGGTCCTGGCATTTCGGCTTCTGTCTACGTGAGTGCTTCGGTATAAAAAAACGAATAGAATTCAAGCAAGGTGTGCCACTACTACGTGTTTTTTACCCTCCAAAATCATGACTTGAGCAAAGTGTTGTGTACTGCTAATAAATATTTACTTCCGTTTGTTTACCTTATTTAATTAACCCTGAAATTCAAATTGCAACACACATAGTATATATTTTCTGCTAGACGTGAGTACATCCAGTACGATTGCTTAATTGAATACCTCTCCAGAAAAAAGTGTACTTTTAACTTTGTTAGGCACTGACATGCAAATGAGCCAAAGGTATGCACTAAATCTACACAATTCTGGTAAGAAACAGTGGAATGTAAGCATATAGACTTGGCTCGTTCTCACCTATTCGAGATAGAAAGTTTATAATTCCTGCATAGCCTTTCGTATGACAAATTTCAACTTATCCTCTCAAGTATTTTTCTACATGGATCTTTAAAGACACATTATTGTATGATTTTCATTGAAATAAAAACACTTGAATATAGTGTTGTCACAGCTAACCTTAAATGTTGTCATACGCCCTTTGAAGAGGACCCAGGTGAAGGACAACCAGAAACTATAACAACACCTAAATCCATCGAAGAAGACCACGATATCGTCTTTGACGATGGGCATGTGAAAGTGGGTAGAATAACGGATCGTAGAAATATCGGAAGAAAGGGTATGAAACCATCTTATACGAATACGAGAGGGCTTTGCGAAGTGAGGGTGGTGCAGTTGCTGAATACCGATCAAAAGCGGCAATGTCTGGACCAATTCAAGTAGTCCTTTATTTAGAAAAAAAAATTCTAATTTCAACAACAACAACAACTGGTAGCATTACAGCATTTCACAAGTACATACATATATATTCAAATATAATAAATTTAACAAATTCTGTCAGATCTTATGTGTTTGATAAGTGCTTGGTTGAAATACCCGACTGAGTCGGCGTTTTTTATTTGCTGGGGCAACTTACTTTATTCACATAGACCTTTGTACATTATTGTTTTCATTGTACTCTTCATATTTGTTTTATTAACATGGAAATGAGTACACGTCCTAGTGTTATATGAATCGATCACATTATTTGGACGTAGATGATCACCTAAATAATTAGGTAATGTTCCCTTCACAATTTTATAAATAAATAGCATTGCTGTTAAATAAAGATTTTGATTCACCGATAACTATTGTAGAGTATCCAGCATATATTCAATTATTGTGTACCTAGAGCACTGTAAAATTATCCGCATTCCCCTATTTTTAACGTGCCTATTTTATTCTTGCTAAAGAAATATAATAAAGATGAACAGTACTGAAAATGAGGTTTTATTATTGTATAAAAAACCGTAATTCTTGCAAACATTGATAGCTGTTTAGAAACACTTGAAAAAAAATAAAGTTTCTTTGAAATTTTCGTAATAATATAGTCACTATGGATGTTAAAGTTTAGGTTTTTATCTAACATAAATCCAAGGTGATTCATTGTATCAACTATATCAAGAACTGTCTTTTCAATTTTAATTTGGATATTAGCTTTTATTATATTATTGTTTTTACTTCTGCTTGATATTACCATTGCTTTTGATTTTTGAGTGTTCAACTTCAATTTGTTCATTTTTAGATGTGTATCAATGTTTGCAAGGTCACGGTTCACACTATCGATAGCCTCATTCAGGTTTGTTAGGGATATTTGGTTGGATATATTTTAAGGCGAGTATGAGTTGTCGCTTGCCTACCCCGCGCGCGTGCGCTGCTAGGACTATAGACGGTAATACAAGGTCACAGAGATACCACGCAGATACTCCGCAACCCGCATACCGTGAGAACATATATACCCGCAACCGCATGCAGTGAGACCACATGTCTACGCAGCAAACGCATATAGTCAGAAACTGCACATACGAGCAACCGCATATGAACCAGAATTATACAGAATACCGGATCAAAGGTAGGCGTCAACCACATTTCATTCTTGAACCAGCCGCTATACAGTCCACTCGAATACTCTAAAGCTGGATCCAGACCAAACGCGCTGCTCCGCGCCGCGCCGTTCAAATCAGTTCAGAGCGGCGCAGCGCTTTTGGTTTGTACGACAACCCGCGCAGATTCGCGCCGATTTGCGCTGCTCTGAACAAGCGCGAGCGCGATCCGGCAGTTGTCGGTACATCAAAGAAAAACATATGTTTGTGCTTGTTTGGTTTGGACGTGAAAACGTACGCTGGTCATTTAATTAGGTGTTTATAAAGTTTTGCAAACATTTTTTGAAGTGAAATAAAAAATGAGTGCTTCAGTTGAATGGACACATGGGGCTATTGAAAAATTGATAGACCTATATCGCCAAAAACCGGAATTGTGGGATCCCAAAGATAACACATATCACATTAAAACTAAAAAGCATGATGATTGGACCAACATTTCTTTGGACATGGGAATCGATGTTGATGCTGTTAAATCTAAAATTACTTCATTATTGTCTTCATATAGAAGAGAAAAAGCGAAATTGAAAAAAATCTGGAAAAGGTAGGAGTAAATAGCTAGCTTTAATGCTCTCTATGCTGTGCTCTCTATACTAAAGACGGACACTATATCTTGTAAAAACTTTTAGGGCGAGAAGATATTTACATCTCAAATTGGTTTGCATTCAAGTTTTTTCATTTTTTGTCAGAAAAGGACACACCAAAGGACACTCTTAACACAGAAGAAGTAAGTAAAAATAAATATTTTTTTTTTATGATTATGATTTATTTATTTAAGCACTGTCATTTTGCCAAGGTATACGCCCGTTTGTAAAAAAATATTCGGCAAATTCTTCTCGTATTTCTTGAGCATTTGATGGACTTTTCCTTGGTATTTTTTTTAACCTGCACATTGAGGTTTGGTTTACATCATCCCTCCGCCAGCTTCCAGCAACAACTGTCCCGTCATTTAGCTCACTATCAGAAGTTCCTGCAGGTGTATAGGTATTTCTCGAATTTTTACTTTTTCTTAAGTAATTGTGTAGATAAATAGTCGTCAGTACTACATCTCTAGCCTTGTTAGGTTCAAGGAGCATGGGTTTTCTCAAAACTCTAAATACTGCGCTAAGTATTCCAAACGCATTTTCTGAAACTCGCCGTGCTCTTGACAATCGATAATTGAAGATCCTTTCTTTCGATCCTTTTTCATAAAGACCAGAATAGGGTTTCATTACATGTTCATGTAGATCAAATGCTTCGTCACCCAGTATGACGTAAGGGATACGTTTTTCCCGCCCAGGAAGCTCTTTTGATTCTGGCAAACTCAGACTGTTTTCTTGTATTTTTTTCCATATTAGACTATGTTTAAATATTCCTCCATCCGATATACGACTCTGAGTACCCACATCAGCGAAAATAAAATTATAATTCGCATCCACAAGTGCAAATAGCACAATGCTAAAATATGACTTATAATTGTAATATTCGCTGCCACTATTTATGGGTGCTTGTAACATCACATGCTTCCCATCCATAGCGGCTACGCAATGCGGGTAATTCCAATGCTCCTCAAATTCTTTAGCACATTGTAGCCACCCACCCTTCTGAAGTGTTTGGCATGTGGAAAAAAAAATAAATAAAAATATTTTCTTTATTTGCAGATATACTCTGAAGAAAATTCGCAAGATAATTTGCAACCTTCTGTTGATGATACCAATGATCAAAGTGAACTACAAAGTGAAAAACAAAGTACTGAGCAACCTATTGAAAATGTCATTAAATCCTCCTGTCAAAGCAATGGAACAAATACAATAGCCAAACGAAAGATATTTGTCTACCCAAAGGAAAATCCTAAACGTAAAATGGTAACAGAAGACCGTAGATTGAGTAAAGCATATGACATCATCGATAGCATTTCAAGCGAACCTGCGTCCAGTCGCGATGAATGCTCAGTATATGGAGAGCATGTCGCTAATAAGCTACGAAAATTAAATGAAAGAAGTAGAGCTATCCTTATCAATAACTTGATCTTTGAAGCTGAGATAGAAACGTTCAATGAGCTGCACAGGTATAGATATCAAAATGTATACTCCTCAAGCAACGCTTCTTCAATTGTTGGTACGCCTCAAACCAGTCCTATTCCTCCACAACCATGTACCACTCAGTCTGTGTCTTTATATAACATGGATCAACCTTCAACGCCTCAATATGACACAGCACAAAGTTTTCTTTCAAATTTTAGTGTATAGAAAGAATTTTAAATAAAGGGGACTTACCTGAACTTGGTGTTTTAATGCTTCATTAAGAGCCCGGCAAACTTCAATAACTATAGTTGAAATACTTTGTTTAGATATTTTGAAATGGTACATTAAACTGGCGAATGAATCTCCCGTGGCCAGGAAGCGTAGAGTTACAGCTAATCTTTCTTTGGGAGAAATAGATTCCCTGTAGTTTGTATCCTTCTTTCGTATTACAGGCTCAATCAAATTTAATAATATTTCAAAATCCGCAGACGACATACGGCAAAAATTTTCGAATTGTCCGATATCACCAATGAACATGTCACTTAATAGATTTGTTCCACTATAAACTGATCTATTTTTAAGCATCGATGTAACCCAATGTCGTCGTTTTCTATTTTGGCTTTTTTGTTTTAAATTTTGATTAATAATAATAGCAGCAGCAATTTTTACTTTTTTGGAATACTCCATGTTAATTCAAAATGCGCGCGAGCCAGTTGGAACAATGACGAACCAAAAATTTTCTTTACGCTGCTCTGCGCCGCTCTGCATCGAATTTACTTAAACTCTGGGCGCTGAAGAAAGACATTAAACGTAAACAGTGATCAGCACGTGAACAGATCCCTCGAAAGCATCCACGGATATACTCCAGTCACTTTAGGTCTAAACATCCTCGGCAGTGTATTTCTAGTGAATCCACAGACCCTTTTTCGTGTCATCTTGAGACTAGAAAAAGGATGACTGTTAAAATAAGTTACCTTGATCTTTCATGAGCTCCCAGTACAAAACATCATCGATATATTTTTGATGTAGGAACAACAAATTGGTTTAGAAAACATCCACTTTGAACCTAAATTGACTGGAGTAACATCGATCTACAGACAAATTCAAGGTCACTAGCAGTCGTCGGCGCTCTACGAATCTGCACAGGTTTGGACTTGTAAACGTGATTGTAGATGACACGACAGGCATCTAACAGTTAATTCACGCACAGGATTGCATTGCATACGCATTACGCATTCAGTAGCGTATACTCGTTTTTCGCGAGTGGAACGTTTTGTTTATATATTGCCTAAGATACGATGTCTGACACAGATACAGCCGACGAAGTGGTTGACATCAGCGCAACCCCACCCAAAAAAAGGGCTAAGAAGCTACATTTAAGTGCAAATGAAAAACAAATAATATTAAATATATACAAAAACCAAATTCAAGAAAAACCCGATTTGGTCGTGGACGAAGTTATATGTAAGGTAGCACATATTTCTGGAGTATGTCGGTCCAGTGTTTATAGGATCATTAAGGAATATAGGAGCACTCACTCACTTTCTGAGCCAAAACCGTATCCTGCAAGAAAAAGGATAACGGACGGAGTAGATGACTTTGACAGAACTGCCATCAGGAGGAAAGTGCATAATTTTTTCTTCCGAAATGAGATACCTACAGTAGATAAGATATTAAGATTAGTTAATGTTGATGAGGATCTTCCATCATTTAAAAGAACCACATTCCGAAAACTTTTGAAGGAACTTAATTTTCGATTCTTGAAACGGGGAAGAAACAGTATGTTAATAGAGAAAGAAGAAATTGTTGTGTGGAGAAGGGAATACCTTAGGAAGATTTGGAAGTTTCGCGATGAAAAAAGAAAAATTTACTATTTGGACGAAACGTGGGTGAATGCTGGACATACTCAAGCGAAAGTTTGGGTCGACAAATCAGTAACATCATCAAGGCAGGCTTTTCTAGACGGTCTTTCGGCTGGATTGAAAAATCCTGCAGGTAAGCTCCTTCATCTATCCGGCAATTTAATTTTGATAAATTCGGGCAAATAATATGCTGTGATAGCAGATAATGTGTGATATTCTCCAAAAATGGTGCATTCGCAGTGTAGTCATTAGGAAAAAAACTTCGACCCTCTTTTAAGCGTTATTTTGAAATTTATTATCATTTTTGGGTGCAGTCAATTTGCTTTGAATGGGTTTTGAGAAGTTGCAAACTTCAATTTTCTACGTTTTTCAGTTTTTGATCAGCATTCCGTGACTCTTAAATTCAGCTAAATGAACTCAATTGCCTCATTCCTTCAAATTTAATCAATCCATAGTGTAAGGAATAATTTATTTCCAGGAAAAGGCAAACGGCTGATCATTTGTCATGTAGGTAGTGAAGACGGATTTGTCCCCGAAGCACTGTGGGCCTTTGAATCAAAAAAGACAGGGGACTATCATGAGGAGATGGACGGCAATTCCTTTGAAAACTGGTTCTCCAAAATGTTACTAAAGCTGGAGAATAACGCTGTTATTGTACTGGATAATGCCCCGTACCATTCTAGAAAAATAGAAAAAATTCCCACAATGGCAACTAAAAAAGCAAACATACAACAATGGCTGGCCTCAAAACAAATCGATTTTGATGAAACAATGGTCAAGGGTGAATTGATAAGTATAGTCAATAGACATAAATACAAATACGATTTTAAAATGATCGACGAAATGGCCAAAAAACAAAATAAAACTGTCTTGAGACTGCCACCCTACCTGAGCTGAACCCTATTGAGCTGATTTGGGCCAACATAGCGCAATACGTGGCGTCGAATAATAATACTTATAAATTTTCTGATGTTAAAAATCTCTTTCACATCGCAGTCAATAGAGTTACGGCAGAGGAATGGAAAAACTGTATCCGCCACGTTCGGGAGAAGGTTGAGGTCAAAATGTGGGATTTGGACAATGTCATCGATACCCAAATTGAACCTCTAATAATTCATTTAAACGATTCAGAAGATTCAAGTTCCTCTTCTGAATGAGTGCGCGCAGCTTACTTACTAATAACTAAAAAGTGTAACTCATTTGTGAATCTCTAACTGAAATTTACTGTAAAAGATAATAATTATCTTGTATGAAATTTTTGATGACTACCCATAATATCTTGATGCGGTCCTGTAATGTCTCCCGCGCCTAAACACTCACGAGCAATATGCGTGTATTTGTTTGGGTTTAGTTTCTTTCTTCAGCGCCTAGAGTATAGTGCCGCGCGGTGTTTTTCGGCGCGGAACAGCGCAGAGCAGCGCAGCGCGGAGCAGCCCGCTTGGTCTGGATCCAGCTTAACAGGTTTTTGCAGGCTGAGTACACAAGTGTGTCATCGGCAAATATATTTATGGAGCTACTTCTCTGAACAAGTTCCATATCATTCAAATATATTATAAAAAATAATGGCCCCAAAACACTATCCTGAGGAACTCCAAAACGTACAGAAATGATTTCGGAGATAGAAGAACCAATCTTTGTCCTTCGACCTCTGTTACTCAAGTAACTAATTATCCATCTCAGGACAGTGCCTCCCATTCCACATTGTTTTAATTTATCTATCAATATTCGTCTATCTATTGTTTCAAATGCTCTTTTGAAATCAAGGAAGACTGCAATTACATAGTTATTGTCATCAATAAGTTTTATCCAATCAGTTACTGTAATTTGAGGAGCAGTTTCACAAGAGTGACCTTTTCTGAAGCCCGATTGCTTAGCCATGAGAAGATTATTGGTTTCAAAATATTCAACAATTTGTTTATGGCCACATGTTTCCAAAAGTTTTTCAAGAGGTGGCAAAGTATTTATAGGTCTAAAATCAGATGCTTCAATGGAATTTGGTACTTTAGGGATGGGCGTAACTGTGCTTACTTTTAATGCATCCGGGAAAACTCCATAAGCTAGTGAAGTGTTGATAAAGTTCAAGATTACATGACCAATCGAGTGCAAAGTATTTTTAAGAAGTTTAGTATTCAAAATATCTTCACCGTATGTTTTATTTTCAAATGAAAGTATAATTTCATTCAATTCATCGAATGATATGGATCTAAATTTCAGGATCGTAGCTGCATCACAAGATTGATCATTATCCACGTATATAATATCAGACTGGATACTTTTTACAATGTCACAAATACTGCTAACAAAGTAAAGGTTGAAATTATCAGCTATTTCCACTTCACCTCTGGAAATAACTTTTTGGTCATTCAGGTAAAAAATTATTCTATAGAAAGTAGTAGCTCCTACCGACTTTATTAAAGATTTCAATGTTTTCCACATAGTTTTGGGGTTATGTTTATTGTGATCCATTTTTTCTTTAAAATATTGTCTTTTTTCATTTTTAACTAGTTAACATATTCATTTCTGAACATCTTGTATTTTTCCCACTAATTATGTTTGTCAATTGGTTGGGCACTTTTCCTAAATTGTTTGTAGGCAAGATCTCGCTCCCTAGCTTTATTTTTGAGTTCAATATCGTAGTAGGGAACCGGGTCACCTCTCACTGACATTGAGAGCTTAGATGAATTTGCATTGACTGCCTTAGTTATATTCTCCCGTAAATTCTCATAAATTTCATTGACATTAATACTATTCGTTGACCAGTCACAAAACCACAAGTCCATGTCTATTTTTAGTAATTCCTCGTCTTTTAAATTTCTTATTTCAACCGTTTTAACTGTTTTGCTAGCAATATTTGAAGAGACACTAACAGATTCAATAGAATGATCCGACAATTTTGGTTGATCATGCACCTTAGCCTCAATGTTCCCATGATTACAAACAACATAATCCATCAAAGACATGCTCATATCAGTTACCCTTGTATAGTCAGTGACCAACTGATCAGCCCCATAAACACCAAATAAACTTTGAATTTTGTTGGTATAGAAATTGTTTTCATCTTTAAAATCTATATTTACATCCCCTACTAAAATGCATTTACTCACAGAGAAGTAATCATCTAAAACGTCTTCTAACTTATCAATAAAATCAGCATCACTTGCACTAGGAGAGTGATAAACACCACCAATTGTCCGCTTTTGACCTCTCACTATAACATCAATAAAACAAAACCAATAATTCGGACGACTAATGATTTTCCTTTTGACTTTATATTCAATTCCATCTCTAATATAAAATACAGTTCCTCCTGTATGCCTGCTGCTACTATCACAATGTATTAGTTGATAACCTCTGATAGTTAGCTCTGAATCCTCAATATCTTCGGTAATTCTTGCCCCACTAAGTATAAGAATAGCTGGCTTATAACATAACATCTGCTTTTATTATGTCAATTTTTGGTAATAAGCTTTCAATGTTGAGGTATATGATATCTTGATTATGTAAAACATGCTTTGAAACATTATAATAGCTGTGTGGCAGTTTTCTTATATGTGAAAATCCTTTGGCGCATCATGAGAAGCGTCTACATCCAAAAAGCGCTGACTTTTCAAAAAATTAAACCTTTAAAAAGTAACTCCCTGAGGCCAGAAGTTGGGTTCATACACTTTCTCCTTGAGCAATTAATCAACACCAACTAGAAAACATTTGTTGTTCGAGCTGTGGTGAAATGTAGCAACCTCTTTAACTTGTATTTTTGTTCCATCTGAACTTTTCTGTGTTGCAATAGATCTCTTAACGTTTTCAGTATTAGTAGAGTCACTAACATGCTTAATGAAAATCCAAATTTTCTTATCTTTTTTAAGTGCTGATCCAATGAATCCAAAGTCTTGTCCATCTGGATTATTCCCAATTTTAGGAGGTGGTCTATTACTCCTCTTACGTTTGGCTACTTGGAAGCCATCATATTTTTGCCCACTTCGTATCTAATACCTCTGATCTGGTTTTCTTTAGCAAAATTTTCTTGTAATTTTTTGTACTTTTTTGAATATGTGCTTTTGGCAGCTGAGGCCGACGGCTTATAGATGTCAGAATTCTCCTTAGTAACATTATTTTGTGCATAGTTTAGTTTTTCAAGTTTTCGATCAACTGCGCCCTCCTGTTGGTAATATTTGCCTTCAATCGGTTTTTGCATATTCATTATGAGCAAAGCATTTTGTTTTTCAAAAGATGTTATCTTACTTACGATTTCTTCCAATGTTGATTTTAGGCAATCCCTAATATCATTCATGCCTGTATCTTCTACTTTTCTATGGTGTGCACCACTTTCTTGCGATTTAAGTTCACATTCAGGGCAAGCAAAGCTCACTGGGAATCTCACTGACTGTATGAGGCATTTCGTTACCATGGATGAGAGACAGGCCCACCGCTAAACGCCAGAAACATCAGTTGAAGCAGTCTGTATGTTAAAGCTGGTAAGTTCAGCGCCAAAGAATAGGTCTAGGATAATGGTTTGTTCGTACAGCCTGTTTGCTGACAATCAGCAAACTGATAGTCGGTGACAAGTCATCACCTAGTTTGCGCAGTTAGCTGTCGCTGACTGTATTAATTGCGTACATGAAAACGTTACGAGTTGGCTGAGGGAGGTCAGACCGATTACCGACAACTAATCCGTTGTTCGTACAGAAACTTCTGACTAATGACTGTCAAATCAGTCAGCAAATAATTTTCCAGTAAATTGTCAGAGCTCGAAATCAAGTACAATAATTATTCGAATGTAAAATTTTTCCGAATGAAGTAGACAATTGTGAAAAAGTTGGGGGTTCATCTGCTGTAAACCAGAATGATCTAGAATTTTTCGTCCAACTGTCCAAATTTTCCCAAATTTTCCTTTAGAGAGGAAAACATGGAAAAAATAACAGCACCCAAAAATGTCAAGTAGGTTTACTCAGTAATTACCATTCAATTCTCATATATAAAGTATAAACATAAATTCGAAGAAATATGAATCCACACATCGAATGACAAGTTGAAGTAGTAAATACATAGTAAGAATTCTAAGTAAACTTCTGCAGTGATTATGCATGAGAAATGTACAAAGTATTGTGAATGACTTTTAATAAACCTTGGATAGTAGGTTTTTTGTTCCCTGTTCCCTTGTCGCCCAGCCTTCAAGTGAATGCACAAACAGGATTTATATATGCTAGCTATGTAAGTCCAACCCAAAGCTGATGAAAAAATAAACAAAATAACGAATTCTAGAGATTTTGTCGTACAGCTTTTTCTAACGGGTGCCCACGGAGGGTAAGCGACCGTTTGTGCTGGGGTGAAAATAATATTTTCCCTATACAGGGTATTTTAAACTCGACCCTCACCATTTTGATCTCGGAAACTTCGACGAAGTCACTGAAATAGCTGCAAAGTTACGTATTCAGATAATCAGCAAAATGTCGCTTAGACAGTTTTGAAATTGAAAGTAGTTCCGGAAAGAGACGTAAAAAACGAAATTTCCAAAAATGGTTTTAATTTTCTCCTGATTTTATTTTTGGTGGGATTTCAAAATAAATTACACATAAACTCGGCCACATTTTCTCCTCTACAAGATGGCACAATTAGAAATTCAATGTGACGTTTCGTCTCTTGTCCTCCAGCATCAACTTAATTCTTTTCTTATAGACGCCATATGGGATTCTTACACAAATGAATAGAATTTTTATTCTGATTTAAAAAATGTATGTCATACATTGATATTGCAAAACCTTAGTTGTTCCAGAAGTTCCAAGTAGGCCTTGAAATTATTAGATTTCATTTGTTTGCATATCAACAGAGTTTGGAAGACTGTGAATACCTCTGCTTATTTATGGTTATTATTATCACCATCAATAAAATTTTCATTGCGTATTCAGGTTTCACCATATCTTTATATTTCCTTATAATTTTTATCCAACAACAAATTTATGGTCAACTAACAATCACGGAACTTACGGCTTAAAAAGTTCATTTAAATGTACAAAATTCCAATATAGTGTCCGTATGGAGAAACAAATTTGATGAAAGCATGGTTCTTGAAAGTTATATCCTCTATTGTTCGGATTTTTCATACTGTATTCATAATCTTCATTTTTCCATTACCGGGTCAATAAACAAAATATTGAGCACAACGCACTTTGGCGGCGCTGGCTTAAAATGGAATTTGATTAACATTTCTTCTGCCACTTGCTCACCTGAAAATGTTACAAAAACTTGTTTCTGTTGAATTGTGGCATTGTTTTCTCAACAAAATTAAAGATTTGAGTTTCAATTTTTTAACACCGATGCAGCCGCTGCTTTCAGGAGCTTGAAGAAACTTTATTTCCATTTTTGAACTGCCTAAAGTTGGTAGAACTGGAAAAATCTCCTTATGTAGATTGTTATATGGTACGTGTACACTATAGATTTTTCCCCGAGATTTGCGCTAGCTAGAGTCGCTTTAGACTAAGTCTATAGTGTACATATTACTGAGACTGCTCTAGCGAGTGTGGCGTAATACTCTCGGTAGCGCGACGTTAGTCTAGTTAGGGTTGTAGTGGACACAGTACTGAGACTAGTTCTCTGGATCACTCTCGCATTGTTTCGCTCTATTCGATGAGTTAAATAGATTAGTTTAAAGCATGGCTTCCCCACCAAGTGTAAATGAGCAAAAAGCTATGAAATGGGACAAAGAAAGTACTCTCAAGCTAATTGAGATGTACGAGGCACATCCAGAACTTTGGAATTGCATATTGAAGGAGTACAGAGATCGGGATAAAAAGGCTCAAGCTATAAAAAATATAGCAGATCATTTAAAAACCACTGAAGCCGAAGTTGGAAGAAAATGGCATAATTTAAGGTGTCAAATGAATTTGGAGATAAGGAAAATTAAAAAAAACAAAAGTGGAGATGGAACTGATGATAGACTGTGGAAAAGTAAGTGGGAATTTTATGATGCGTTACAGTTCATGATGGGTTGCTCTGGGAGCACCAAAAGCACTGCAAACTTTAGGGATACGGTGAGTAAACATTTTTTCAGCATTAGAAACATATATTACATTAAGCAGATAAAATGGTATTATGTTTATATATATTTATACTGCCAGGCGACTTCACCATGTTTGGATACAAAATAATTTTTAAATTGTTCTCGTACTTCTTTGGCTGTTTTCGATGGGTTTCTAACATTTGTAGTCTGTAAAGGAACCATATTAGCTATAGGATTTCCTCCATTTCTCCAACTCCCATTGATAACGTTCCCATCATTTTCAGTATCAAATATTCCATTTGGGGCATATAAATGTGCCGAACTTTTTTGGGTCGGTAAGAAATTATGCGAAGAACATATTGCAAGTACAATTTTTTTAACCTTCTCTGGAGGTAGGTCTAGTGGTCGTCTAAGAACACGAAATCGAGCCGAGATCAGTCCGAAAGCATTTTCAACTACACGCCTTGCTCTTGATATTCTGTAGTTAAAAACCCGATTAAATCCGGGTTGGTTTTTGAAAGTAAAAGGTTTTAATAAATAGGAAGTCAAGGCAAAAGCATCATCGGCAATAACAACAAAAGGTGCATCTTCAGATTAACCCGGTAATGGCCTTGGTTTTGGCATTTTATTTCAGGTTTCGTCGCAAGAGGAAGATTTTCTGGAGGAGTCTCAATTACAAAGCATAGAAAAACTAACAACATCAAATACTACAACTCATCGTTCGAAAAAACTAAAAACCAAAGCCAAGGAAAAAACGAACGAGGAAGATGATGCAATGCTAGAAAAGGCTAAAAACATACTAAATACACCAACTGACGAGTATACCGTATTTGGTGAATATGTTGCTAGTGAATTACGGCAGCTGCGTTCTGATGAACGAAAAAGAAGATTAAAACGAATAATCCAGAAAGCTATAGTTGCAATGAGCGAGGAAGATGAAGTGAAGTTTTCTGGATCAAGAACACTTACACCTTTAATGTCGCCTACTTATTCACATTCGAGTACATACCCATCAACTTCAAATACGGTTGAAAGTTTTGAAGAGGCACCGATAACAAATACAACTACAAACCTTCCTCCAATCACGCAGTTTTACGAAAATTACTTACCTGGAGATAATCCGTTTTCAGCACAGTAAATATCGCTTCACAAACTTCAGGTATAATCCTTGAAATGGTCGTGACTGGAATCCGAAAAAGGTATTGCAGGGAATGATAGCTATCTCCTACAATTAAAAATGATTTAATTAGAAGTTGTTTTTGTTTGCTTTTTAAGTTAAATACATCCTAGAAAACAAACTCATGTCTTTCAATACTCACCTGTTGCTAAAAACCGTAAAGTAAGCATGAGCCGTTCTGAAGGTGAAATAGCTAGCCTAAGATGAGTATCTTGTTTTCAAATCAATGGTTCAACTTTTTAAAGCAAGTATTCATAGTCCTTATTACTCATGCGTAAAAAGTTAGCGAATAAATTCATGTCTTCGCTGTGTAATTCTTTCACCAATTGAGCAAAAAAACCACTATCCTGTCTTATTGAAATCCAGCTCCTAACCCACATCCTTCTCTTCTTGTTTTTTAGCTCAACATTTTTTCTCTTCTTCGTTATTAAAATAACAGAGGCAGCTGCAATTTTCTTAATTCGCGACATTTCAAACTACTTCCAACAAACTACGGTGCAATAATGCCTATACGTTTTTACGAGATCAAATCTACCATGTTATGTACACACCACATAGAGAAATTGGTATAGAATTAATCTAGGAAATATCTACGAAGGTCTAGCGAGGGCCAAAATATGTTATAGTGTACACAGAACATAGGCAAGTCTCACCTAGAGAACGTATCTAAATCTAAAATCTAGGTAGATTTTCTCTACAGTGTACACGTACCATTACGAGTACACGATCCCGACACCCTCGGGACAAATGAGCGGCCTTATCGGCCAGTTCTGGATGTACGAAATTCTAAACGCTTACAATGGGAGGCCGAAGTCAGGTAGGCAGATCGCCAACGGCCCGTTGGTACGAGGGTGTCCTCAGACAGTCCATTAGAGAAAAGTTTATTAAATGCCTCTTGCAAAGCAATGTTAGCCCTCGAGATAGTTCCGACACACTCTGATACCTGTCACTGTCACTGATGGACTGGTGTCCTCTGATCTGACAGAAGGTTCTGTACGAACAGCGGATTAGCTGTCGGCAAACAGTCAGAAGCTGTACGAACAGGTAACATCTCTCTGATTCTGATTTTGACAGTCAGCGACAAGTTACCGACTACTGTACGAACAAACCATAGAACACGAAAAGGATTCTGTTAATTGAAAAAGTAAAAGGGTAGAAAAATGACGGGCGAATACTAACCCAGCTTCCTGGATCAACTGAATACCAAAATTCGTGAAAAGGGGCCCGTCTCAACAAAGAAAAATATTATTTCACTTCAGGACAACGCACTAGTTCACAAAGGTGTGTCGACACTAGGAAAACTATAGGATTTGGAGTGCGATTTGCACAATCATCCTCCTATCCTCTTGACTTGCCATCCACAGACATCTTTGTTCTTAGATGCAAAGAAATTTTTTCTCTGGAAACTTGTTTTAAGTCTGATGAAGAATTTCAGACTGCCGTAGATAAATATTTTGGCAGCCCTCCAGGCATCCACTTTCGAGAAAGAATTCCAATGTTGATAACATCTGTAGCCTCGCATTTCTCCATTTAGATCTAGTTTTCTTCGTATTCGACAAGTAGCTATGGAAACAAATGCAGTCAGATTTGAGAAACATTTGCTAGCTGTACCACTCTTGTTTTAAGAAAATATCTGTCGGAAGGTACTTCGACCTTAGATCAATAAGGAAATGTCATTTATTGAGGCCCTGCTCTATTAACAATAAACCCAATGTGTCCGGCCTTTTGGTTTTATACTTGTAACAAGTGTTCTCATCCACGCTTTCGTTTTAAAACACCTTTTAGCTGCAGCCTCACCGACGACTAAGTAAGTTGAACATTTGAATCTGTTCTAAATTGGCTGCTATTTTCATAATTGTGTTTTAGCTCCTGAAGATGACAACATAGTTTGCTGAAAGCTCGAGATTACCGTCAAAAGAGTCCACTAAGCTTGCCAATTCTCAATAAACATTTTAATGGTATATACAGGGTGTAAAGTTAGTAGTGGATCAACAGAAGTCAGGTGATAGAGGGCCTCAAAACCTATCGAATATACCCCTATATGTGTCGTCCGAAATTTTATAGTTCAGACGAGATTTGCAATTTTATTAGAAGGTGTCGCTTGTGTATAGAAAATAATGGAGGCCATTTCGAACATGTTCTTTAAAATTTAGTTAAATTATATTGTGCACATTTGTCGGTAAATCGCCATAAATAGCGGCTAAACAGGTTCTGTACTTGTAGGTGGTAAGGAGGTTCTTACATTTGTCATATCACAACAACAAAACTGACATGATACACTCATCGTTGCAAGCTGAATTTTGCAGGGTTTATTCTATATCGATTGAAATAATTTTTACAATAAAATGAATAATGAAGTACAACCTCAATTTTTTACCGCCCTCCAAAATTGAGGGATGGAAGAGATTTTTCACAAAAAATGAGTTTCAGATTTTTTGTGTTGATTTCTAATAAGCTCTGTTAAAAAGTAACATGACCATTGATAAAACTAACCTTTTAGCTCATTTCAGAAAAAAAATCACAGCCCTAAACCTAATGATTTAGTTGTAATTGCGATTGAAAGTTCATTATCCCGTTTTTGTTTCGAAATTTTTCAAAATTGCAAGTTTTGAGATCCTCTATCACCTGACTTCCGTTGATTATATATGTATTTATTTATTATTAATTGAGTTTTTATACCTGGTTTTTCTTATTCTCTTTCGCTTCAGTCTTTTCCTATTTAGGCATAACTTGTTCTATATCTCTTTGAGATCGACAGGATGATGAAAACATTTGCATTTGAATATTTTAGTTTTAATTCTGCCATTGATTAACGTATTCTGAGGTTGCCAACATAGCACTGTTGCGCAATAATTAGAACTCGACTTAGTATATCTCACTTCATTTCGTTTAATTTTCTGGACGCCAAAATACAGTGCATGGTTGGCTATCTTCAAGTAGGACAAGTTAATTCGAGATTCGGCCTAATTACATTTATTCTTGAAAACATTTTCTGCAAAGTCACTAAATGACGCCTACACAAAATGTTCGAGAACCAATTCGCCGGCCGCCTGTTAATCTTCTTAAATCACCAGCGAAATGAAATAACAATTGGAAACGATTTAACCGGCGTCTAGTTTGTCCTTCCCATTTTCCGTGATGTATGGGGTCCTGTTGGAGCGAGGCCGGCGCCGACGCCAGGAGCACGGGCACCGTTCCAACAGGACTTTTGGAACTCCAGTAAACTCCCGAGTAGTGGCGGATAAAAGAGGGATGGTATCCGGGATAAGATCCTGATGAAAAACACATTAAAGGTATAGCTTGTTCTTCAATAATCGTTCAGAACGATTACCGGGACAGGCTGGTAAAACATCTATTAGAGTATGTGTAGAGTATGTGTAGGAAGGTTGTTGGTGCCATTTTGTATTACCGAATCTCATACATTCCGACTCCTAAGTCGAGAATACAGACGGTCACATGCTTCTAACTCATATTAAGTTACAGGTCAGTTTAACAAATAAACGTTGTTTGAGACATGTTATATGGATGCGTCGTTAAAAGCGCGGAGTACAAAGCCCTGATTCCAGCTAAATTTCGACACTTGAAATTAACTTCCATATATCATTGTCGTCAAACGTGACAGCTTTGTTACTATGCGGAGGTAGACGAGAAATCTGAAGATTTCCACCTACCAAGGATTCGCCAAGTTGCTCTTCATCCTCATCCCATACAATGAAAGCTGACGGAAGAAATTTAGGACATCTTATCTTACCATGAGACCACAACAGATAAAGGTTGGCAGCAGGGGCAAGTAGTAACCTTGGTCCTTTGCTATTCTGTATTTTCATTAACGACTTAGCAAACTGTATAAACAATTCAGAATGCTGACAATTTTAAAATGTTTAAACTCATTACATCAGGATTGCCATGTACTACAGAAGGATTTGATATCCAATTGGTTTCATGAAAACTAAACGCTAAATATCGACAAATGTCATGATTAACTTCTACACGTAAAAAATAATACATAAATTTTACATACACGATTGAAAATTTACAGCTAGGCAGAAAAAGCACATGCAAGGATCTTGGCGTCTGCTTCCACGCAAACTTAAAATTTGCCCAGCATTATGAAAGCATTGTGAAATCTTATAAACTCCTTGGCTTCATAATTAGGAAAACAAGACATTTGAAGGATACAAATACAATAATAACTTTGTACAGCACTCTAGTGAGACATAATTTAGAATACGCTTCAACTATTTGGTCACTACAAACAATAAACCATAACGAGATGATTGAGAGAGTGCAAAAGAGATTTCGCAGATATTTGTATTCTAAAAAACAATATGGTTTTATGATCTCATACAATAATATGTTAAGTGAATTCAAAATGATCAAATTAAGTGATAGGTGAAGTTTGAGTGATGTTTTATTGGTCTACAATGTCACTAACACCTTAAAGTATGAGGCATGTGATTTAAGTAAATATGTATTATTTGTAGTTCCAAAAGTTAAACTAAGAATAAGAAGGAACAGGTTGTTTCAGAGTCAATAGTTAAGTAGCTCTCCTATAAATAGGATGATGTATGAATGTAATATTATAATAAACAATATAGATCTTTTTTGTACATCGGTAAGACAAATCAAGGTTGTGCTTCTAAACATTATTATATTTTATATAGATATACGAGTATGTATCTATGTATATATATATATACAGGGTGTTAATAAAGTATGTAGACAAACTTTAACCATCGAATCCTTGGTCAATTTGAAGACTCAATGTTCATAAATGAGCATGGGTCTGTAACGGCTTTCTTTTCGAGCTAGAGCAATATCACTAAAGAAATACGAGTAATGTTCCAAGTGTTTCTACGAATAATGAAGCGTATTTGTTGAACAGTTTGTATAACCTATGATAAATTTTGTATGCATTACAAGTTGCTGAAGCTCAATAGGAAAGTGGATGAAAATAGCAATCCTGTATTTTTGGAAAAAAAAAAATTTAGATCAATAGTTTTGAACAGTAACATTCGAATAGAACGACAACAACAGAAAATATCGTATAGTTATTTTTACAATAAATGTTCAAAGTGACCACGAATTGTTTGAGAAAATAAATTAAATCATTTGTTTTCGGGTACGTAATAGGTGTCTAGATAAGCACAGTGCTCAAATATTAAAAGTATCGCGATCAAAACAAATCAATATCATGCTATTTTTCAAAAAATACTAGATGAAGTTATCCGTATCTACGTACATGAAGGGTCTGAAAACAACTAAATCATGTGATATTCACCACAGGGCATATTTAATTAAAATAAAATACGTTCCATACTTTTATAATATTTTTAAGAACAACATGATGTCTTTTAGTGCTAATATGCTCTAGCCTGGAAACTAAGTCGTTGCGGACCCATGTTCATTTGGAAATTTCGTCTTCAAACTGACCAAGGATTCGATGGTTAACGTTTGTCTATACAGGGTTATCCAAATTAAGTGTCCACCATTAGTAACTTTGTTATTAGTAAAAATACAAAGTTGTTTAAATTAGCAAACTAGTAGCATTTTTAACGCTGGTAAAAATGAGAAATAAAAAAAAACAATTGAGAGTCGTTATTTTGATTTTTTTCAGTAAAATAACATTTTTTTAAATGGAAACCCCTGTATATTATATTTTTTTCTGTTAAAGCATCAAATTTTAAACAAAAAAGTTCATAATGACTTTTCCGCT